GCTCGATGGCATGTATCCCGTGTACGAAGCGTCGCCGCGGGGGAGGCCAACGCGAGCCAAGAGTCCGGGGCGGGCGGCGCGGTGGAACCATCGGCGGGCGCAGCGGCCGCGGCCGCGGCGGCGGTGGTGGTGGTGGCGGTGGGCGGCGGCGGCGGCAGGCATCGGACGCATCGTTTGTAGGCACGCACGGGCTGCGGCTGCAGCAGGCTAACGATTCTAACTGGCCGCTGCGGACGCCGATGGATGTGGCGTCTGCGGCGTCAGGATCGCGCGGCGGGCCTCGGCCGCAGCGCGAGGAAAAGTTGCCGGCGTACGCGTCGCGCAAGGCGCGTGAGATCGAGTACAAGCCGTACTCGCTGTCAGACTACAAGCGGATTGCGGCGCCGACTAAGCTCGGCTCGCTCGGCCCAGACCTGGCCTCGCCGGAGCTGCAGGCCAAGCAGGAGCGGCGGCGGCGGATGCAGAGCTACGGGGCCAAGCTCAAGCAGATGCATCGGAGCCACATCCCTGCGCCGATTGTGCCCAAGGGCTCGGTCGAGCGGCGCGAAAAGGTGTCCAAGTCGGAGCGGGCGCGGCAATACTCCAAGACCATCCGCAAGCCGGCGCACCGCGGCGGGGCGCCGGCGCCGCACCGCGCCTCGGGCGTGGCCTACGCCGGAACCTCAGGCTTTGGCGGCACGTTTGGCCATGGAGTCGGTGCGGGCGCGCGCGGCGGCGGCTATGACCTGCAAACCTCGCAGTCTTCCAAGTACAACCGTGGCGCTGGCAACACGCCCATCGAGGCCATGGAGCTCAAGCACCGCATCGACTTGCAGCAGGTTGCGTCGATCCGCGAGTCGTACATGTGAGGAGGGCTAAAAGTAAGAAAAGGAAATCAGAGGCGGGAGCGAGACGGTGGAGCGGCGGCTTCGGCGAGCGCGGCCAGGACGTGGCCCGCGGCTGCCGCAGGCTCTTCCACCATCGGAAAGTGGGTGCAATCGTCAAGGACAGTGACCGACGAGGCGCCGAGGTGGGTGCCCACGGCTGCCGCCACTCCGGACGCGTAGGCGCGGGATCTTCCGCCGGCATACAGCGCCATAGCCGGGGGAAGGACGGGACGGGCGGCGGCAACAACCTCCCACAGGTGGCTGAAGCGGTAGCCGCGAAAGGTGGCGGCCTCGGCAAGTGGCGGGCAGGCAAGGGTGACGGCGTCGGGGCCGGCGGCCGGATCAGGTACCATGCCGCCGTCGAGGTAGGCGTCGACAGCGGCGGGCGTCCAGGTGGCAAACATGCCGTGGCCAGTGTACGCGGACGCGGCGGCGGCTCGCGAGGGAAAGTCCGCCCGGCGGCGAGCGGCGCCGGTAGCCATCACGTGCGAGGCGACGTGGCCGGCGCTGGGCGGGAAGACGATGGGCTCGTAGGCGACGATAGCATCAAAGACGCCCGGGCGGAGGATGGCGGCCATGAGCAGCGTCGTTGCGCCCATCGAGTGACCTACCGCGATGCGAAGGCCGCTTGACTCGGGCCTGGGCGCGCCTTGGCCGGCCACATCGATGTCGTCGTCGAGCGCATCGATGACCGCAAGCGCGTCGTGGGCTAGGCCCCACCAGTCGAGCGGCTCGTAGGCCTTGCCGGCAGCATCCGCGCCGACGTCCCCGTCGAGAGAGCCAAGCCGCGAGCCGCCGTGCCACGCATGGTCCCATGCCACAAGGCGCAGCCGGGCGGCTGCGCCCGCTGTCTCTGTCCATTCTCCTCCCGTCGCCTCCTCAAGGCCGGCCCATAGAGGGAGCCACGTCTCCTTGCACAGCCCGGTCCCGTGGGCAAAGACCAGAGTGTGGGCCGGGCCTGGGCGCGAGGTGCCGATGGTGGCAGTCATGGCTGCGAGAGTGACATCAGCAAGTGCTGCCGACGGCACGATGAACGGCGTCGCGGCGGTGCGGAGCATGTGACGGGCGAGTTGGGTGGGCGGAGTTGGGCAGCGGGCGCTCGACCCCGGTCGTGGCGCCGGCAACGAGCGACGGGGGTTTTTTGCGCTGTCCAAAGACGTTCCATGCCGATTCTCGCCTGGCGGAGTCGCACTTTGGGGGGGGTTCCACGGCGGCACACAGGGCCGGAGGGGGGCGGGGGGGACGACCGAGGAGTGGAGGCACTCGACGCGTGGGATTGCGTTGCAAAGCGGAGACAGACGCAGACGACAGGAGAGCTAGCAGGCACAGCCGAGGGCGTGTGTGGCTTGTGCAGGCGTCGGCATGGGCTGCGGAAGCTCGAGGGCGGACCAGGGCAAAAACGGACGGGGTGGGAGTGGGAACTTGGTTCGGGCTAGCAGGCGGGGCGGGAAGAGCGACCGTGGCGGGCTAACGCCATTGCGGGAGGTGCGTGCTGAGCGTGAGGCGTCACTTGCGCAGCTGGACCTGGCGTCGCTTCCGGGCCTGGCGGCGTGGCGGGCGCTGGCGACGCTGGGCGAGGGTTGTGTCGAACGAGGCGACGGCAGAGCAACGGCTATGTCTGTCTTTGCGCCGGTTGTGCGGGTGGCGGCAATGCGAGGCGATGACCCAAGCGCTAAGCTGCGGGTGGTGGGCCTCCAAGCAAATCAACAATGCAAGGGCCGCTCGCGGAGCAAGTGCAAGAAGAACGAGGTAGAGCTGGTGTTTGAGCCGTCGGAGCTGCGGTACTTCTCGGCCGCGATGATGGAGACTGTGATGGACGCGGTCTCGAGCGGCGAGCTCTCGCTCTTTGACATCCTGGACGACGCGCTTGTCATCCGCATCCTGTGGTATCTGCCGCTGGCCGACTTTTGCCACGCAGCGCAAGTAAGCTTGCGGCTAAACTTGCTGACGTATGACGCCGAGCTGTCGACGCTCTGGATGGTGCGGACGCTGGCGACGTCGCGGATTCGCGACTCGTCGCTGACACGGCTGGCAGCGCGCTCAGTCTCTTGTATTCTCTCGCTTGACCTCTCCAACTGCCAGCTGGTGACCGACTGCGGTCTGCGAGCCATTCTCGAGGTGAATCCGCTGATGGAGGACATCTCGCTGGCCAACTGCACCGGCATCACGCGAGCCGGCCTCATGGCGGTGGCGGAGCTCGGGACCTCGCTTCAGCGAGCAGTCATGCCCGTGACCAAGGCGCGGTCGCACGCCGAGTCGTATAGCGATATTATCGAGGTTATGGCGGCCAACGCGACCGAGCTCGTCGAGCTGGACATTGACGGCTGGGTCGTCAGCGCCAACGCGCTGGCATGCCTGCTTAAGCAGTGCAGCTCGCTCGAGCGGTTGACGGTCTCACTCCGGTCTATACCGGGCGAGTCAATTGTTGACGACGTAGGCTTTATGCAGGTCTGCCAGTACGCGCACAACATCAAGGGCCTTGTCCTCAACTACCCGGTCGAGCTCAATTCGTCTTCGCTCACGGCGCTACTAGCGCACATGGGCTCACTCACGGCGCTCAACATTGCACATGCCTCGTTTCCGCGGCTCGCTCTCGCGCCTGGCATGGCGCCTGTCCTCCGGGTCATTCATCTCAACGATGTAGCCATTGACGACGCAGGCCTTGCTTCGCTGATTGCGTCGACGCCGTCGCTCTACCACTTTGAGCTCCGGTTTTGTGCGCACCTCACCGACACCTTTCTCTCATCGCCGCTCCCGCCGTCGCTTCAGACTCTGGTCCTCACCTCGTGTCCGATCTCGGACCGCGGCGTCGGGTTTGTGGCCCGGCAGCTGGAGCGGCTGCCGCGGCTGCTCTGCCTCGACCTCTCACACACCAACATCTCGGAGCAGTCGCTCTCCACACTCCTTGGCATCGGCAAGAGCGTGCCTTACATTGGCATCGCCGACTGCGCAGCCATCCAGGCTAACTCGATCATCGAGTTCTACATGCGGCGGCACAAGCAGCTCAAAAAGTACGAGGCGGCCTTCCTTGAGGTCATCGCCCGCGCCGAGCCGCCGTCGCGGTTCCATCTTCCGTCGGGCGAGCCGCGCCCACTCTTTGCCTCGCCGAGCATGGCAGGCATGTCAGGTGGCCCGTCCGGCTGCCGTGCCAAGCCCACCATTTCATCGCGACTCGTCGAGAGTCACGTCCGCGGCATGCATGCCTCGCTCTCGGGCACTCGGTAGCCAGCCAGAACCGCAGCCGTTTGCACTTGTCGCCGCGCCATGGGAAGTAGAGGCATGGACACGGTAAGTGCACGAGTGAAGCGTCAGGCGCGGCCCTTGTATAGGAGTGGGGGCTGGGGGGCTGGGGAGGAGGGGGGAGCATGAGCTTTGGGCGGGATGTCTCACATTGGCATTGGTGTGGGGGGCGCGACGGGCACCAACTCGGGGATGGGGCGTGGACGACGGGGCGTGGGGCTGCGGGCATGGGGTTTGTGGTGTGCGGCGGCGACGGTGGTGGTGGTGCTGGTGGTCGCGCTACAGGTGTCGATGGCGTCGGCGGACTTTGTGTTCCGGCCGCCGCCCGGGCTGGGGAGCAAGCGGGCGAGCGCTGCAAGCGCAGTGTTCACGCTCGTGTCGACGATTGTGGGCGGCGGATCGCTCTCGCTCCCGTTTGCGTTTGCTAAGCTCGGGCTTGCCGAGGCGGCTGGCCTCCTTATTGTCATCGCGGTGGCGTCTGATCTCGGGGCGTCGCTGCTGGTGTCTGCGGCGAGGCGGTCTGGTGGATGCACGTACGAGCAGGTGGCATACAAGGCGTACGGGCGGCCTGCGCAGCTAGTGACGGTGGTGTTGCTTGTGGTGCTGACGTATCTCTGCTGCGTGGCGTACATCATTCTCATGGGCGACTTTGCGGTCCCGCTTCTGGAGGTGTACGTGGTGCGGGGCACGAACCTTTCGGGGCTGGGCCGTGCGCTAGCAATGGGCGGGGCGATGGTCCTTGTCTCGCCGCTCTGTTTTCTGCGTAAGCTCACAGCGCTGCGGTTCACGTCTGCGATGTCGATGACGTCGATGCTCTTCCTCACGTGCGTCATTGTGGCCAAGGCTGTGATCCACGCGCGGAGCGTGGGCCTTGCGACGATGTGGCGGCCGGTGGCGTACACGTCGTCGTTTGCTGACACGCTCTACGGCTTTCCGCTCATTTCTGTGGCGTTTCTCGTCCACTTTAACGTCTTGCCTGTCCACACTGAGCTGACGGCGACGGAGCCTGCGCTGCAGCGGATCCGCAACGTCATCCACGTGACGGTGGGCATTTGCTCGACGCTGTATGTGGTCATCGGCGTCGCCGGGTACGCCACCTTTGGTACTGCTGTTGATGGTGACGTCCTGAAGAACTACGGGCGCGACGACCACCTGGTCAATGCCGGGCGGTTCGCGCTCCTAGCGACGCTCCTCTGCAACTTTCCTCTCCTTTGCATCCCGTGCCGCATCTCGCTCGACCGGCTGGTCCTCCTCGCACGCGACGCGTGGTGCCTGCCTGCACCGCATGGCCAGAGCATTGCCGGCCACCTGACCCCGCCCGAGAAGCAGCCACTGCTGGCGCAACCGGACGTGAACAGCGGTGAGGGAGGCGAGCCAAGCCGGTGGGCGCTGGCTCGCGAAGATCCTCGTGACGCGCTCAAGCTGGCGGGCACGCCCGACACCTCGCGGTGGGACGACGAGCACCCACCGAGCCCCGAGTCAGTCATGGTCGAGCGGCTCCGCGTCGTCGAAAGGGCTGCGCGCGATAAGTACGCCCGGCTCCGGCAGAGCATCGAGACGGTGCTTATCATCGCCAGCTCACTCGCGTTTGCCATTGCCGTCCCTTCGGTCGTCATTGTGTGGTCGTTCATGGGCTCGACCATCTCCATGCTCATCGCTTTTGTCCTCCCTGCCCTCTACTACCTCAAGATCCGGGCGGCGCGGTCGACCAATCCGCGGCGTGTGGCCGCCGTCGGACTCCTCTGCTTTGGCATGATCATGCTTGTGGCGTGCACGTACCAGAGTGTGCGCACCACTGTGGAGCAGGAGTCGTAGCTTGTGGGTAAAGCGTACCAGTGAACCCGAGTGTGGGAAGGGTTGAGGGGCGGTGAGGGGCCGCAAGACAGCGCTCGTCACTCGTCTTGACTCTGACACAATGCTGCGTTCGCTGGCGCGAGTGGGTGCGAGCGCGCGCCACAGCTGGGTCAAAGGCATGCTGGGCATGCAGGGCATGGGAGGCATGGGAGGCATGTCTGGGGCACGGTGTGTACAGTGTGCGGTGCCTGCGGCCAAGAGCACGCTGACCGAGTAGGTTATGGGGGATGGGGGGAGGGGGGGGGGAGGCGACAGAGAGAGAGAGAGGACGCAGCCAGGCTCACGGCAGCGAGGGATGGGAGACAACCGACAGGATGGAGGTGCTGGACATGACGGTGAAGCAACTGAGGGAGGCACTGAAGGAGCGCGGGGTGACGCCGGGCTCAGCCAAGCGCAAGGCGCAGCTGCAGGACCTGCTGCTGGCCAACGCGGACAAGGCGGTGGCCAAGCCGGCGGCAACAACGGCTGCGTCGCCGCTCAACTCGCTGACGGTGCTGCAGCTGCGAGAGCGGTTGCGTGAGAAGGGCGTCGCGTACACGTCCAAGCTCAAGAAAAAGGAGCTGGTGGCGTTGCTGGCGGCGGCGCCGGCCGAGCCGGCCGCGGAGACGATGACGAGCGGAAAGGCCGCCGGCAAGGCCGCGTCTGCGGCTGGAGGGCGGGCAACAGAGAGACCGTCGAGTGGAGCGAGTAAGGCTAGCAAGAGCAGCGGCAAGGCTGGCAAGGCGGTGGTGATGGCGAGCGGGAGCAGTGGCAGCGCTGGTGCACGCGGGGCAGGCAAGAGCAAGTCGGCGCCGGCGGTGGCGGTGGTCATGCCGCGTGCCGGCGGTGCGGTGCGAGCGCCGTTGGCGATGAAGCTCGGGCAGACGGCACATGTCATGGACGTGGCTCAGTGGCCGCAGTGGCTCAAGACAGAGGCCGGACGGGCGGCGAGCCTGCCTGTCCTCTCGTCGCTGGTGGCGATGGGCACCTTCCCGGAGCTTGGCTGGCGGGTTCTCTACGCGTCGGGCCTTACTTGGTTTGGCTCACGGTTCACCAGCTTCAAGGCGCTCGAAAAGTTTGGTCACGCTTCGCTCGGCCTTCAGCTGAGCACGATGATCGGGCTGCACCCTGACATTGCGGCAGGCATGCTCTCGCTGCAGGCCGACGCCACGCTGCTAGGCCTGGGCGCAGCCGGAGCCATGGCGGCGGCGCGGACAGTGCGGCGCGGTCGCGGCCTGCCGACCGGCTTTGAGCGGGCCGAGGTGCTGAGCGGAGCCGATGTGACGCTGCGCGGCGTGGTCGACGGCACGCCCGTCGGTGCGCTCGTCAATGCACTGCACGCCTCGACCGAGGTCGGTCGCGCCGGAGCCACCGTTCCCTGGGGCGTCTTTGAGCTCGGGTATAAGCTCCGCGGCCCGCAGCAGGTCTCGCGAGTCAGCAGCCGTGGTGTCGAGCAAAAGGCGCACGAGGCCGCTGTCGAGCTTGTCGCCGACTACCACGTCCAGGACGTGCGGACGGGCGAGGTCCAGAAGGTCCGGCTCGAGCCGCGGTCTGTGGCGCTGGCCGCCGCCGCCGATGGTGGCCTCTTTGACGCGCCGACGCCGAGCTACGACGTCGACGAGCTTGTTGAAGCCATTGAATCGGGTCTCGATGGCTCGGCCAAGCACGTCCGCATTCCTGAGGCTCTCGGCCCACTCCTCGACACGGAATTGTGGGCCGCGACGCCGGACGCCGCCATCCCGGCCGTTGTCTCGGACGCCGACCGCCGCACCGTCGAGTTTGCCGCGGACCGCCTCAAGCAGGCCCAGTACCTGCCGACGTTCCACACCGCGAGTTCCAACTCGGCCGGCCTCTGGTCCAACGTTCGCATCATGCGCGACTCGGTCGAGTACACTGCCGTCTGAGAAACACAGTCCATCGTTTAGCTTTGTCTGCCCAACACTCGGACCCAACTTGGGCGGGGAGGCCGCCGCGCCAACAATGAATCAGGCGCAAAGCTGGATGGTGCTTGACGGAGGGCACAAGTGGCTGGGGGGGTCGATGCTGAGCAAGTGGAGGCGATGGAGGGGGTAGATGTGGGCTCCGACAGACAACTTGAACAGGCGACCCCGTGGCCAGATTGGGGCCAAAAACGGCTGTAGCTAGTCTTACAATCTCAGCTATAAACATATATAAATATATAACTGTAAAAATACATTTATATGTATCACAGTGATTTTTTTGTAATTATGTGCAGTAATACAGTGTGCATTATATAAAACTAATATTTTTGGCTGTTTGGGGCTGATACCTTTAGGTTTTTCGCATATTTTTGTAACACACCAGGATCGAAAGAAATCGGGCACGCGTCGCCTTCTTAGCCTGGTGCGAGCCTACTAGGCTCCCAACAGCGCCTTCATCAAACATGACTCTCGCCCTTAGTTCTACCATTATGCAATGTACTCCCTGCAGCTGTCATCGCACCCGGATGCCGGCCGCTACCGTAGCGTAAATGTCGAACATTTATGTTCGTGGCAACGTCAGGCGATGTCACACCTACCTGGCACGACCGGGCCAATGACGCAAGCGCAGACTGGCAGTAGGCAACCCGCACACGCTCACACATAGCTCTCTCAAGACAACGACCTGACCATGGCTACAGCAACGATCTCGCGTTTAGTACAACGGCTCCGCAGTGCGCCACAGGAGCATCCGTTTGGGTTCGGCGTGGTCTTCTCGACAGCCAAGACGTCTGCGGCCGACGCATTGGTCCAGGTGGTGGTTGAGCAGCGCGAGGCGTTTGACTGGCGGCGCAACCTCGGGTTTGCCGCCTTTGGCTGCCTCTATCTCGGCGGACTGCAGTATGCGATGTTTGTGCCGATGTTCCGGCGGCTCTTTCCGTACACCGACGAGTTCCTGGCCAAGCCGCTGCGGCTGCGGCTGGCGGACACGCGCGGATGGAAGGTGGTCGGCCAGCAGGTGTTTGTGGAGCAAGCGCTCATCAACCCATACCTCTACTTTCCGGCCTTTTATGCGTGCAAGAGCCTGGTCGCCGGCGAGCCGCTGGCCGAGGCGCGAGCGCGGTACATAGCCAACTTCCGTAACGACGTGCTCGCGTGCTGGGCCATCGGCCTCCCGGCCTCGACCATCAACTACACGCTGCTCCCGTTTTGGCTCCGGGTCCCGTACATTGCCTGCATCTCATTCTTCTGGACTGCCGTCCTGAGTCTGATGCGCGGCTCCGAGGGCTCGTCGGCCAAGGACGACAGCGGCGCCGAGGCGGCGGAGGCCGGCGATTCGGTCGTCGCTGCGGTCTGTCTCCCTGCTAGTGGCGGAGCGCGACTTGGACTCGGCGCGCTCACGGCAAAGCAAGTCTGGCGGGTGACGGCCGCGGTCGATGCGCACCAGGACGTGGTAGCGCGGACTCAGGTGGAGGCGGTGCAGGGCTCGCGTGAGGTAGTGGCTGTGATGGCAGTCGAGGTGGCGAGCGATGCGCGGGCTGAGCGCCTGGCAGGGTTAGTGAGAGCTCTGGCGGCGGCAGTGGAAAGCTGAGAGCGCTACTGCATGGCAGAGGGGCCGGCAGCGCCGCTGTCGGCAGCGAGTGCACGGCGCTGGATCTCGCGCTGGTTGACAAGGAGGTGGCGGGCGCGTTTGGTCCCGCGCGACTGGTTCTGCTGGATGCGGCGCTTGCGCTCGGCCTTGCGCCCCTCCTGGGTGGTGGGCTTCTCGTAGGCGAGGATAAGCGAGCGGATAGTGACGACGTCGTCGCCTTCGAGCGACTCGTCGTAGACGTCCGAGACGGTGGCGGTCATGCCCGGCTCGAGCGGGGCGACCTTGACCATGGTGATGAGGCGGCGGCGGAAGCAATACGAGATAAACTGCTCCGAGTTGGCGACAACCTCAAAGGCTGGATGTGACGGGACGTGGCTCGAGTCATAGTTGTACGAGGTGGGGAGCCAAAAGACAAGACGGCCTCCGACGACGAGGGCACGGGCGGCAAAGTCGAGCATGTCGATGACAATGTCTTTGGAGGTATAGAGAATGCGCTGGACAATGTGATCGTCTTTGAGCTCATCGGGGATGACGACTGGCTTGGAGGTGTCCTTGGCGCCAACCTTACGGGCGCCCTCGCGGATGCCGTACGGCGGATCGGCGACGACAGCGTCGAGGAACGGGCGGCCGGAGCGGAAGTTGACTTGGGCGTTGTCGGCGCGGAAGACGTCAACAAGGAGCTGGGAAGTGCCGTACTGGTCAAAGTTGGAGAACAAATCGCGCTTGACAATGTGTTTGTCGGCGTAGCGGTTGACCTCGCCACGGATGGTGCGGCCGCAGAGGTCCGAACCCATGACGTGGGCGCCAAAGGCGGCGAGCGGGACAAGGAGCGAGCCGGTGCCGACAAACGGGTCGAACATGAGGGTGTTCTCGCGGGCAAGGGCCTGGTTGGCCATGATGAGCGCAAGCTCGGCATTCATCGACGTTGTTCCGAGGTACACGCGCTTCTTCAGATCGTAGCTGTGGACGAGCTCGCGGGCCGAGTTGGAGACCTTGCGGCCGACGTGGGCAGCGACAATGGGCTGCTCGCTGCCAGAGCCGTCGGGCACACCGCTCGAAATCAGAATCCAGAAGGCGGCATCGGGCGCGCGGAGCTTGACCTTGCCGGAAAAGTGCGGGATGAAGCGATGGAACATGGCAAGCTGCTCGGGGTGCGAGTACTGCTTGCCGTACGTATCGGCGCGGAAGCAGTACGTGGAGCCGGCAGCGAGCCAGTCGAGCGAGACACCCTCCGGATTGTCCGGCGCTGGGGCGGCAACGGTGTCGGCAAAGGCCGCTTCCAGGCCGTCCATCGATTCGGCCGATGCCCAGTGCTCGTAGAGAGCCTTGACGCCGACGCACCGCTGGACGACGGCGGCGGCCGAGGTCACGTCGGGGAAGACGACGCGGACAAAGGGGCTGTCACGGATGTCGATGGACCGGTCGTACTCGACAGGCACGTCGAGCAGGGCAGCCACAGCCTCAAACTCGGGCAGGCGGAACTCGAAGAATGAGGTGGCAAAGGCCACAAGGCCCACAAAGGGCCGCCGGGCGCTCGCCGCCTCCATCCGCCGCCGTCCGGCCTCGCTCGCCACCACGTCGGCCGCCGTCATCGGCGCAGGCCGTGTGTCGCGCTTGCGACCCTTGCCCTTTCTGGACGTCTGCATGGGTTGCGGCTTGGGGGTGGGGTGGGGTGGGGTGAGGTGAGGTCGTGGTCGTGGTCGCGGTCGTGGTCGCGGGGCTGGTGGTCGGGTGGGGCTGTGGCGGCAGCCGACGAGGCAGACCGTAGTAGCAGGGATTTATCAAGCATCACTCTGCTGGGCCGATCGAGTTGAGCAGCTTGCTAGGGCTAGTCGGGCGTGGACATGGGCACAGGCGATGTCTAGCGGATGTCCGAGCGCGACGGGTGAAGCGCGGGCGAGCCGGATGATGAGCTGGAGGCACCCGAGGGGAAGACGTTCCAGAAGCGCAAGGTCTCGTCGCCGGCGCCTGTGGCAACCGTCTGGCCATCGGGCGAGACGGCAAGGTAGAGGACACGGTAGGTGTGACCCGTGAGAGTAGAGAGCGGGCGCATCGAGGGGTACGACCAGACGACGATCTGGTTCTGCGAGTAGCCGTGAGTGGAGACGAGCTCGTTGACGTTGCGTGACCAGTGGAGGTTGCAGACCTGCGAGCCGGTGTCGACGATTGAGAGCGGGGTTGTCCCACCAGCAATGTTCCAGAACTTGATGCACCGGTCGGCAGTTCCACCGCCCGTCGCCAGCAGGTCGCTCTGGTGAGGTGACCAGGCGATGGCCTTGATGGCAGCCTTGTGGGCCGTGATCTTGAGGACCGGGAGGGTGGACGAGACGGACCAGACGAGCAGGCGGTTGTCGTTGCCGCCCGACGCCAGGTGCTGCTCGTCAGGCGACCATCTGAGGCCGCACACCTCCTGGTTGTGGCCGTAGAAGCGGCCGACGTGCGAGTCTGCGGCACGGAGATCGTGCTGCAGGATCTGGCGGTCGCGCGAGCCAGTGGCAAGCACGGTTGTGCTCCATGCCATGGTCCCAACTCGGTCGCGATGGCCAGCAAAGGTTCGGACCAGGCTGCGCTTGGCAGCGTCCCACACCTCGACCTTGCCCTGCACCGTGCCGACAGCAAGATGCTTGCCGTCGGGGACCCAGGTGACGGACGCGACCGTGTCGTTCGGGCCTACGTCACAGAGCTTGAAGACCTTGGACGTGCAGGCCGACCAGAGGTACACGCATGAGCCAAGCCCGACTGCCAGCATGTTGAGGGCGGACCAGTCAATAAGGTTGTAGTAAAAGTCGTCCTTCAGCCGTGGCGCGTCGAGGACCTTGAACGGGACCCGCGAGATCTTGCGCGGCGCCTTGCGCGGCGAGAGAAGCAGTCGCTGGGTCTGGATGCCGACCGGCGTGAGCGAGTACGGCGAGTCGACCGGCGCCTGGGTCTCGGCAGGTGGTGCGTACTGGAACAGATTGCGCCGCGCCGGCGAGCTGGCCGCGCCGGCCACACCCGCACCGGCGTCGCGGCCGCGCCGGCTGCGCATGGCGCCAGGCGACTTTCGCGGCGAAGTGACTAGCGACGGCGAGGCCATGGCGACGGCAGCACGGTGTGGCGAGCCGCCGGCCCCACGCATGGCGTGCCCCTCGCCGCCTTCGCCAGGCGAGCTGTAGGCAAAGGCCAGCAGCTCGGACCGAAGGACGGTCGAGTACGTGGTCGCGCCCGCGTCGCCGGTGACCGACGCGTCGGACGCGGTCGAACTCGCGCGGCCGCGGCCCCCCTGCATGTTTCCCGGAACAGCAGCAGCCCCGGCTCCGGGAGCTGCATCTCCCGACGGGCCGGCGCCGTCGCCCGGAGCGCTCCCGGCCTCGTTCTCATCATCCATGGCGTCTAGGAGCGAGAGGCCGAGCGAGTAGTTGGTCCCTGCGCGCGACGGGATGTACCGATCGGCATAGACCGGCGACGGAGCGCGGTTCTCGAGTGCCGCCGAGCCGAAGCGCTCGCTACGGGCAAAAGAGGTCTCGAGCAGTGCAGCGGCTGTGGCCGATGCCGTCGAGTCGAGCGATGCGTTGGGCGAGGCGCCGCCTGCGCTCGACGTCGACGCCAGCGAGTCGTCCAGCCCACCAGCGCCGCCAAGCAGCCTCCGTTTTGTATTGCGCAGCAGCCGCTCTGACGGCGATCCCGTCCGGCCGCCTCCGCCGCCTGCCGACCGTCGACGCCGCTTGGGCGACATGGACCTGCGCAAGCGCTTCTCGTAGCTCTGGTGGAGCATGGACTGTGTGTGTGTAGCCAGGGGAGGGAGGGAGGGAGGGAGGGGAGGGAGGGAGGGAAGTTGGGGGAGGAGTGGTAGGGGGAGGAAGG